TCCACCATCAACAGCATCGCCAGTAACGTGGTGGGGCAGAGCCTGGCCTGGGACTTCATCCGGGGCAACTGGAAGACCCTTTTCACGCAGTGAGTACCATGGAGGGGCAGCCCGGGGGAGCGGGAGGGGGGCTGGGGAATGCGGGGGAGCAAGGGGGAGTGGGGGAGCTATAGGGGATGGGGGGTAGGGGGATGGAACAAGCAAGGGGGAATGGGGGGGCAATGGGGAGTGGAGAAGCTACGGGGGATGGGGGGGTAGGGGAGCAAGGGGGATGGGACAAGTAAGGGGGGATGAGGAATGTGGGTGGGCAATGGGGAGCCTGGGGGAGGGGGAGGAGCAAGGGGGGATGGGGAATGGGGGTCAATGGGGAGCCTGGCTGGGGGAGGGGGAGGAGCAAGGGGAGAGGGGGAATGGGGGGGGCTCTCAGTCTCTCCCCGCACGTTCTGTGCCCTTCGTGCCATCCCGGGCTCCTGTGGCTCCTGGCGAAGGGCAGGGGGTGCTCCCTGCCCCCATGCCCTGAAGCTCTTCCCTCTGCTGAGCCCTGGCAGAGACACGGCCCCGGGGTGGCTGTTTCTGGGATGCTGCCCCTGTGGGAGGAAGGCACCTGCCCCACGCCCGCCTGCTCACCCCACCCTCCCCTCTGCAGGTACGGCGGGGGCTCCTTCTCCTTCTCGAGCCTGATCCAGGTGGTGACGCAGCGCTTTGCCTCTGACTTCGAGCTGAAGCAGGTGAGGCCCGTCCCAGGCCTGTCGGTGCGCTGGGGGGCGGGGCCCCTCGGGAAGGGAGAGCCCCGACAGTTCTGCTCTAGCCCCCCCCAGGGCCTGGCCCTGGCTCCCCGCAGCCTGTCCCCGGGGCCTGGCCTAGGTGGGCTGTGAGCCGCCCGAGTGCTGGGGCCGGCACCATTTTGTGTGGGGTCGTCGGAGCTTTGCAGCCCCTCTCCATTACTGTGGCTCAGCCGCCAGGCCGGAGCTCCTTGCCTGGCCACCCTGCAACAGAGGGGTCCTGCCTCCCTGCCGGGAGGGTGAGTCCATCAAGCCCCCGTCACTTGGGGGCAAGCCAGGGCAGATCTAGGGAGAGGTCCAGCTGTGATGACAGCCCCAGGGACGCCAGTGCCCCGCTACCTCCAGACGCACATGCCCCCTGCCCGTTGGCGGGGCCGCAGCCGAGGAATTGGTGCTGCAGGAAACCTCGTGTGTTACCTAAGCACCCCTAGGCCCAGCCCCATGGGCCGAATGCCTGTCCCTTGGGTTCACATCCTGGCTCCCGCCCTGCGTGGCCAAGCTGCTTCCCTGCTCCTCCTGAGTCCACCCCTCTGGCCCCGCGGGCGTCTGGGGCTGCTCGGCCCCCTGCCCAGGTCTGAGGTGCCCGGGTGGGTGCCAGGGCCGCCGGAGGGCACCGTGGTGCAGAGGTGGGTGCTGTCCTGCTGCCGCCCGCGCTCACTCTCGGGCCCGCTCTCTCTCGGCAGCTGGAGCAGTTCAAGGCGGACAATGCTGGCGTGGGCTTTGGGTCGGGCACACGGGCGCTTGAGCAGGCCCTGGAGAAGACCGCAGCTAATATCAAATGGGTGGCAGAGAACAAGCAGACGGTGCTGACGTGGTTTGAGACGGCAAGCAGCTGAGTGGGTGAACTCAGTAACACCGAACCCCCCCACGTCTGCCTCCTCCCGCTGCTCGGGGGGGGGGCAAGGGGGCTGAGCCCCGGGCTCCCGAACCCCATGCCCTGGGCATGCAGCCTCCTGAACTCTCCTGTCACTGGGCCCAGGCTCCCTCCCCAGAGAGCCCCACACCCTCACCCCCACACCCCATTCGGCCTACACCCCCAGCGTGCTCTGCACAGCCTGGGGCTCAGCCTGGCCGGGGTCCCACAAGGATTTGCACACTGGCCCCACTGCCAGGGCCTCGCCACAGCCCTGGTTTCCGTGACTGTCCCAGGGAAGCCCAGGTGCCCGTGGGCTGGTCACGGGCAGACAGGAGGGTGAGGACCGCGGGGCTGCTGACTGGGGACCCCCCAGCCCCGCTGTGGGCCAGGACATGTGCGTGGTGTATAGTCCTTCTCAGCCCAGACATTGTAAATAAAGGCTTAATGTTAAAAGGTAGAGCTGTGGGCTTGGGCTTGGCCTGGCCACACCCACGTCTCACTTCCACGTCTCACTTCCACGTCTCACTTCCACGCTCAGCTTGGGCAAGTGCACGGGCTGTTTCCTTTGCCGCCGGCATGGTCAGCGGTGGGGAAGGCAGGGAGAACTGCGGGGGGAGGATGTGAGCCGGAGGCAGGTAGACCAGGGGGCGGGGGACCTGGGAGAACAGGAAGCGAACCCGCTGAGGCTGGTAGGAGCCCGGTGCTGGGTGGTGGCGAGGCCTGGCGGTGCCGTGGCCCCGCGGGGGCCGTCTGACGGCGTGTGTCAGTGATCCCCAGGGGCCAGGCCGTCCCCAGCTCTGCTCCCAGACAGGGCCGTGCAGGCTGGTGCAGAGTGACGCGGGCGAGGGGGGATCCGTGCGAGTGCCGGGGGCAGGGAGCAGGCCCCCTGAGAAGGCACAGGAGCAGCGGGCCCTGGGGGGAGGCAGGGGGAGCAGGCCCCACCACAGAAGCGAGAGGAGAGTCCCCTCCATCCAGTCCAACCCTCTCTCCGTGGTGCCCTGTGGCACAGCCAGAGCTCGGGCCAGCCTGGCTGGGAATCTCCCCCGTGACGGGGCTCCCGCCCTGTCCCCCGGCGCTCTCTGCCGGGACGTGAGGCTCTGGCGGTGCAGCCCTGGGAGCCCGGCCCTGCAGGGACACGCTGCCCGGCCCTGGCTTTGCAGCTTGGCGATGGGGTCGGTGCCCAGGTCTGACCTGGGCACAGCGACCATTTGGAGAACGGGCCGGGGCTGCAGGCGTCTCTGGCTGCGTCGGGGGCAGCGCGGCAGCCCTGGGCTGAGGCCGGAGGTGTGATGTGGAACCTGGGTGGGCACCATTAGCACGTCCAAGCCTGGGGAAGGGGCAGGCAGTGGGGTGGGAAACCAAGGGGGCTCGGAGGCAGAGTCAGGCCTGTGTGACCCGTTCACGTCGTGCCATGCGTGGGTCTGGAGTCACTTGGATAGCAGCCCACTTTCCTTGCAGGAAGGTGGCATCGCCTTCTCTGTGTCCCCCCCTGAGCTCCAGCCCCAGGAGTCCCCTTGACCGCCCTCTGCCTGTGACCCCCCATGACCCACTGTGATTCACCTGGCCCCATTGCCTCATGACCCCCATCCTTGTGACCCCCATCCTTTCCCTGAGTCCCTGCCCATCTCCCTGAGCTGGGCTGCTATCGCTGTTTCTCCAGGCTGCCAAGGGGCCCCAGGGCTCGCGGGGTGAGATGGGTCCAGTTCCGCTCGCGGTGACTTCGGGCCCTGCCCAGTTGCCTCCAAGAAGCGCCATGGGCAGGGGCTGGCCACGTGGGGAGCGCGCTCACCCGCGTTCTGTGCCGCACCACGGGCCCTGCTCCAGGCCACTGCCCGGGGCTGGAGAGACCTGTCAGCCCTACACAGCCCCGCGCCGGGCCCCACACAGCCCCAGGCCCCGCCCAGCCCCGCGCTGGGCCCCCCTCAGCCCCACACAGCACCAGGCCAGTTCCCCCATGTCAGCCTCACACAGTAAGACACTGGGTCCCCTTGGCAGCCCCCTGGGGGGCAGTGTCAGGCCCTGCTCCCAGACTGGGTCATTCTCATGCAGGCAGAAAGCCCAGCGCTGCCCACACAGCCGGGTAGGGAGCTGACAGCACCCGTGGGGGCGCTCCCCCTCCTGGCAGGGGGCTAATGAAATCTGGGCCTGCTGGAGAAATGTAACCGAGCATGAGCCAGATCAGAGCATGGGAGGAGCAGGGACCCTGGTCATGCGGTTCCGCATCCATCACCGTCCACCCACCCTGCCTTCAGAAACTATGTCTGCGGGCTCCCAGAGACTCCCCGCCTCCCCCAGCACCCGCCCGCTCCCAGAGACACCCCACCCCAGCACCTGCCCACTCCTAGAGCCAGGTCTGCCTAGCACCCGCCCGCTCCCAGAGACGCCCCGCCTCCCCCAGCACCCGCCCGCTCCCAGATACACCCCACCCCAGCACCCGCCCACTCCTAGAGCCAGGTCTGCCTAGCACCCGCCCGCTCCCAGAGACTCCCCGCCTCCCCCAGCACCCGCCCGCTCCCAGAGACTCCCCGCCTCCCCCAGCACCCGCCCGCTCCCAGAGACACCCCACCCCAGCACCCGCCCACTCCTAGAGCCAGGTCTGCCTAGCACCCGCCCGCTCCCAGAGACTCCCCGCCTCCCCCAGCACCCGCCCGCTCCCAGAGACACCCCACCCCAGCACCCGCCCACTCCTAGAGCCAGGTCTGCCTAGCACCCGCCCGCTCCCAGAGACTCCCCGCCTCCCCCAGCACCCGCCCGCTCCCAGAGACTCCCCGCCTCCCCCAGCACCCGCCCGCTCCCAGAGACACCCCACCCCAGCACCTGGCCACTCCCAGAGCCAGGCCTGCCTAGCACCTGCTCACAGAGACGCCCCACCTCCCCCAGTCCTTGCCCGCTCCCAGAGACTCCCCGCCTCCCCCAGCACCCGCCCGCTCCCAGAGACACCCCACCCCAGCACCTACCCCCTCCCAGAGCCAGGCCTGCCTAGCACCCGCCCGCTCCCAGAGACGCCCCACCCCAGCACCTGCCCGCTCCCAGAGACGCCCCACCTCCCCTAGCCCCCGCCTGCTCCCAGAGATGCCCTGCCTCCCCCAGTCCCCGCCCACTCCCAGAGATGCCCCGCCTCCCCCAGTCCCCGCCTGCTCCCAGAACTGGGCCTGCCTAGCACCCACCTGCTCCCAGAGCTGCCCTCCTCCCAGCACCCGCCCGCTCCCAGAGCCGGGCCTGCCTAGCACCCACCCGCTCCGAGAGCCACCCCCCTGCAGCGCCCACCTGCTCCCAGAGCTGCCCCCCCCCAGCACCAAACCTGGCTGAGTGACCCTACAATAACAAACCAGCATGAGCCAGGGCAGGATGGAAAGGGTTTAATCAGAAGGCATTTCCCTGCCAGGCACGGCCAGAGTGAAGTGCGGGGCAGGGACCTGCTGAGAGCAGAGCTGCCGCCCTGAGCGCTAGTCCGTGAAGAGCCCCGTATCTCCGCACCCCAACGTTGCCAATGTCCTGCTTCTCATCACCTCTTCAGTGCCAGCGGCCCCCCATTCCTGCTGCTGGGCCGGCTCGGCCGGGATGCCCCAGTGGTGGCTGTGGGCTGGCTGGGGGCTGGGGTCAATGGACCAGTCCAGGGCTGGAGACATGGGCCCTGCCTTGTGCCAAAAGAAAAGCCGTGTTTAAACAGGTGCCAGGTGGGCCGGCCAGGGCAAAGCGCACTGCACCCGTGCCAGATTCCACCAGCCCCAGTTCTCAGGCACCCCCTTGCCCAGGGCGCCGCGGGGACAGACCCTGTGCGCCTCAGCTGCATTCTGAGGGAGCATTTCCCCCTCCCCGCAAGGCTCTGCGTCAGCCCCAGCTTCTGGCTCAGGGGCCCCGTTGCACAGCCCCTCGGAGTCGTGTGCGGGTGTCACGGAGTCCCTGGGCGATGCTCTGGAACTGCTCCCCATGAAGCCAGTCAGGACTCTGGGGCAGTCTCCTCTCTGGGAGCAGCCTGTCTGCAGGACACACAGCTCACCCGGCTTCCACCTTCCTGGGTCTGACCTCAGAGCATTCAGCCTCCTCTGCCCCTCCGAGCGCTTCCCACAGCGAGTCCGCTCAGGCGGGGCTCCTGGGGAAGCCAGAGGGTCCTGCCCCCCAACTTCACAGTCAGACGTGACTCTCAGCCAGCCAGTAAAACAGAAGGTTTATTAGATGACAGGAACATGGTCTAACACAGAGCTTGTAGCTGCAGAGAACCGGACCCCTCAGCTGCGTCCATTTTGGGGGGCAGTGAGCCAGACAACCACATCTGCACTTCACTCCATGTCCCAGCCAGCCCCAAACTGAAAACTCTCCAGCCTCTCCTCTTGCCTTTGTCTCTTTCCCTCCCGGGCCAGGAGGCCACCTGATCTCTTTGTTCCCCAACCCTTTAGCTCTCACCTTGCAGGGGGGAAGGGCCCAGGCCATCAGTTGCCAGGAAACAGGGTGTTGGCCATTCTCTGTGTCCAGACTCCTGCACACACCTGCCCTCTAGGGCTCTGCACTGATCATACACCCTTACCCCACCCCCTAGATACTTAAGAACTGCCTAGGGGAAACTGAGGCACCCCCACACTATTCAGAGGAAACATTAAGAACAGTCCCATTTCGTCACCTCGGGGCGCTGCACATTATACAAAGCGATGGGTAGTTCCCCTGGCTGGGCCTCCTGCTCTGCAGCATGGGAGGGTCCAGGTGGTGTCCCCGCAGCAGCAGCAGCCCGCCGCAGTTGGCCCTGGCAGGGAGAGCGGGCCCTTGTTTCCAACCAGATGCCCCCCCGTCCAGCCGGGGAGCGGGTGTTGCAGACCCCAGCACCGTCTGCGCGGCAGCGTGCTATGCCCCCGTATTGCCCACATCCTTCCCTGGGCTCCCGGCGCAGAACCCACCTCAGGCCCGGGCAGGGCACAGCGCCAGGTGCCCCGGTAGCACCTGGCTGTCATGGCAGACCCTTGGGGCCCCATGCCCAGCGGCACGGGTGGCTCAGCCCAGGTATTGGGGGGGTGCTTTCTGCCCAGCCACCCTGCCAGGTTGCTTGGGCAGAGTGGCCCAGGGGACCCCAGGGGGCAGAGAGAGGCACATTAAAGGGAGGCTCCTGGCTTCCAAGCTGCTGCTGCTGGAGGGGTCTGAGGAGCCAGCCCAGATCTCTCCTGCATGGCATTCCGATCGGAGCTGTCGTGCCAGGGCCCAATGCCCCAGGCTTGCCCCGCGCAGAGCCCCGGGCTGCAAGGAGGCACTATGGGCCACCGGCTTGGATCCCCGAGGGGAACTTGGCCCGGTGTGGATGCTACCGGCCTCCTGCGTACGGGGCAGGGAAGGGGCCCCCCAAGCTGCCTGCAAGACAGAGTGCAGTGTGTACCTGGTAGAAAGCAGCCAGCAGGGGGCAGTGCGTGGGCGATGTCCAGTGCCTTGTGTCCGTGGCTCCGATCCCGTTGGGCTCAGGGGGGCCAGCCGGGCCAGTGCAGGATCCCCAGGATGCTGTGCCATGGGGCTCTGGAAGGCTCCCTGCCTTGGGGCGGGAGGTGGGCGAGCCCCAGGCCATTAAGTCTGAGATCTGGGCCCCATGGAGCTCCGGGGGAGTCCCTGTTTCAGAGCAGGAGGTGGGTGTCATCCAGGACGCTGCTCCAGCACTTTGAGTCCAAACCAGCTCCGGGGACGTCCCTGCAGCAGGGCAGCAGGTGGGCGACACCCAGGATGCTGCGGCCGGGGGGGACCCCTCCCACGGGGCTGGAGATGCTGCCTGGAGGCCAGGGGTCCTGGCCTGGCAGCAACCCAGCCCCTCGGGGCACAGCTGGCAGCGCCGGCGTGGGCCCTCTCTCCTCTGGGCCAGCGTCTCCTCGCTGAGCCCCAGCAGCTCCGACAGGTGGGAGATGTAGCGGATGGTGAGGCGCAGGGTCTCGATCTTGGTCAGGCTCTGGCCGGCCGGTGCCACCGAGGGGGGCAGGTAGCGTCGCAGGGTGTGGAGAGCCTTGGACAGGTTCCTCATGCGCAGCTTCTCCCGCTCGCTGGCGCTCTGCCTCTGCCTGCCGCCTGCCCTGCCCTGTGCCCTCTGGCTGCTGCGGCAGGGATCCGCCCGGTGCTTGGGGGGCAGAGCGGGTGCTCGCCCCGGGAGGCAGCCGTGGAGGGGCTCCTGGGAAGCCAGGAGTGTAGAAGAAGGGGACAGGCTATAGGAGTCTGAGGAGGAGGTGGGAGAGGTGGAGGCTGAGTGGGCCCAGCCCCACTCCTGCAGCAGGGCCTGGCTCGGGAGCAGCTGGAGATTCTGGGCTAGGAGCTGGGCAGGACAGCTGGCCATGGCGTCAGGGCTTGGGGCTTCTCAGGTTGCGTGTGGGGAGAGCGCAGCAGTCCCAGGCTTTATGCTGAGGCTGGAGGTGTGAAGTGGCACCTTCCCAGGTTGCATGGAGGTGTCAAAACCCACAGAGCCCTGGCTGGGGCTGAGGCAGGAGGCCCCTGGGAAAGCCAGCCCCATTTGCAGAGGTGTCAGTTCTGACTCCTCTGCCCTTTAATTGGTGCTGCCCTGAGCTGGGAAGTGTGCAGGGGCCAATTCACATGGCAGTGAGAGCTGCTAATTTTCTTACCATCCCTCCTCAAGTCAACCGGCACAATCCCATAATGCCCCGGGCTGGGCCAGCGGGAGCTCCTCAGTGTGCTGGCTACGCTGGGACCTTGACCTTACCCAGGAGAGGGACCCCGAGCGCTTTGCCATTGTCACGGAGTCCCTGGGCGATGCTCTGGAACTGCTCCCCATGAAGTCAGTCAGGACTCTGGGGCAGTCGCCTTTCTGTGAGCAGCCTGTCTTCAGGACACACAGCTCACTCAGCTTCCACCTTCCTGGGTCTGACCTCGGAGCATTCAGCATCCTCTGCCCCTCCGTGCGCTTCCCACAGCGAGTCTGCTCAGGCGGGGCTCCTGGGGAAGCCAGAGGGTCCTGCACCCCAACTTCGCAGTCAGACGTGACTCTCAGCCAGCCAGTAAAACAGAAGGTTTATTAGACGACAGGAACATGGTCTAAACCAGAGCTTGCAGGTGCAGAGAACGGGACCCCTCAGCTGGGTCCATTTTGGGGGGCAGTGAGCCAGACAACCACGTCTGCACTTCACTCCATGTCCCAGCCAGCCCCAAACTGAAAACCCCCCCCAGCCCCTCCTCCTCTGGGCTTTGTTCCTTTCCCCGGCCAGGTGGTCACCTGATTCCTTTGTTCTCCAACCCTTCAGCTCTCACCTTGCAGGGGGGGAAGGGCCCAGGCCATCAGTTGCCAGGAAACAGGGTGTCGGCCATTCTCTGTGTCCAGACTCCTGCACACACCTGCCCTCTAGGGCTCTGCAATGATCATACACCCTTACTCCACCCCCTAGATACTTAAGAACTGCCTAGGGGAAACTGAGGCACCCCCACACTATTCAGAGGAAACATTAAGAACAGTCCCACTTCGTCACATCTCTCCCCCCTTCGAGATCGAACTGAGCGGGGTCACTTTAGCCGGTGACCTGGGGAAGTTCGAAGCCACCAACGTTCCCATGGATGCCCCAGCATCTCTCCCATTCCTTGGTAGGAGTTACACCAGGCCCTTCCAGTTTCACGCCCTCCCTTAGGTCAGGGGTGGTCGATAGCACTCGCAGGCCGCATGTGGGAAGGTTTATGCAGCCAATGCCCTTTGGCCACCCCAAGAATGTCTCCCCATTCACCATCACCTTCTGCTCCCACTGGAGGTCCGGGGGGCCTGGCCCCAGGAAACTCCACACAGACATATAGGTTGGGGTCAGGAGTGGGAGCCTGTCCACATCCCCAACCATCTGGCTGACGGAGTCTATGGCCTTGGGACCCAGCAAGGGAGCTAGATACCGGGGCTTTTCCGCAGGGTCCCTGTCACGGAGTCCCTGGGCGATGCTCTGGAACTGCTCCCCATGAAGTCAGTCAGGATTCTGGGGTAGTCGCCTTTCTGTGAGCAGACTGTCTTCAGGACACACAGCTCACACAGCTTCCACCTTCCTGGGTCTGACCTCGGAGCATTCAGCATCCTCTGCCTCTCCGTGTGCTTCCCCCAGCGAGTCCACCCAGGCGGGGCTCCTGGGGAAGCCAGAGGGTCCTGCACCCCAACTTCGCAGTCAGACGTGACTCTCAGCCAGCCAGTAAAACAGAAGGTTTATTAGACGACAGGAACATGGTCTAAAACAGAGCTTGCAGGTGCAGAGAACGGGACCCCTCAGCTGGGTCCATTCTGGGGGGCAGTGAGCCAGACAACCACGTCTGCACTTCACTCCATGTCCCAGCCAGCCCCAAACTGAAACTCCCTCCAGCCCCTCCTCCTCTGGGCTTTGTTCCTTTCCCGGGCCAGGTGGTCACCTGATTCCTTTGTTCTCCAACCCTTTAGCTCTCACCTTGCAGGGGGGGAAGGGCCCAGGCCATCAGTTGCCAGGAAACAGGGTGTCGGCCATTCTCTGTGTCCAGACTCCTGCACACACCTGCCCTCTAGGGCTCTGCAATGATCATACACCCTTACTCCACCCCCTAGATACTTAAGAACTGCCTGGGGGAAACTGAGGCACCCCCACACTATTCAGAGGAAACATTAAGAACAGTCCCACTTCGTCACAGTCCCCTTGGTTCAAATCGCCAGCCTGCTCAAAGGCAGTGAGGTGGGCATCCACACCCCCCCCCCCTCCTTAACCAGGGGCAGCAATTTAGTCTCGAGGTTCCCTGCGGAACTGGCCCCCCGGGATCTATCCTCACTCACCCCGGGGAGGTCCCCTAGGCCTCTCCGCTCCCCCACCGCCAGTTCATCCTGCTGCTGCTTCTGCAGCTCTTTCTCGGGCTCTCGCTGTCTCTCACAGTCCTCTTGCTCTCTCAGACTCAGCTCCAATCCCGTCCGTCTCGATCCCCCGATGGGGAACCCGATCGTGAAGACCCTCGTCTGGTCGGGGACAGGAGTCTTGGCGATGCCTGGCTCCCGCTTCAGCTGCTCCCAGATCCTGCTATAGCCCCAGTTGGGGTCAGGAATCTGTTCCTTAGAGCGGTCATCCTCCTCCAGCTGCACGATTAACTCTGCTTTGGTGAACTTTCCAACGCTCAACCCTCTCTTTTGGCACAGGGTTACAATGTCCTTCTTAAGGAGACGGTGACAGGCCATCACTCCGCTCCTCCCAAGTTGTTGTGGACTCACAGGCCCGTGTGTTCTCAGCTCCCCACGGTTTCCAGGGAGAACCCCTAGTGTGCCAGCCCTTCTCGAGGTCACCACCTCTTTGCCAGGGTCGAGCTGCAGACTCCTCCGCCCCTTGGACTGCTCACTGCAGTCCCCAGGGGAACCCTGTTACTGCACAGTCCTTCTCGCTGGTCACACACTCCCAGGGGTTAACCGCCCCCCGAAACCGCTCCTCTCTGAGCCATCAGCAGGCCTGGTCCTCGGCAATCCCCCCTTCGTGTTACTGCTCCCCAGTCACTTACTGCAGGAAGCACCATCCACGGGGTGTAGTACATCCCACCACTGCCACCAGTTGTCACGGAGTCCCTGGGCGATGCTCTGGAACTGCTCCCCATGAAGCCAGTCAGGACTCTGGGGCAGTCGCCTTTCTGTGAGCAGCCTGTCTTCAGGACACACAGCTCACACAGCTTCCACCTTCCTGGGTCTGACCTCGGAGCATTCAGCATCCTCTGCCCCTCCGTGCGCTTCCCCCCAGCGAGTCCGCTCAGGCGGGGCTCCTGGGGAAGCCAGAGGGTCCTGCACCCCAACTTCGCAGTCAGACGTGACTCTCAGCCAGCCAGTAAAACAGAAGGTTTATTAGATGACAGGAACATGGTCTAAACCAGAGCTTGCAGGTGCAGAGAACGGGACCCCTCAGCTGGGTCCATTTTGGGGGGCAGTGAGCCAGACAACCACGTCTGCACTTCACTCCATGTCCCAGCCAGCCCCAAACTGAAAACCCCCTCCAGCCCCCCCTGCTCTGGGCTTTGTTCCTTTCCCGGGCCAGGTGGTCACCTGATTCCTTTGTTCTCCAACCCTTCAGCTCTCACCTTGCAGGGGGGGAAGGGCCCAGGCCATCAGTTGCCAGGAAACAGGGTGTCGGCCATTCTCTGTGTCCAGACTCCTGCACACACATGCCCTCTAGGGCTCTGCAATGATCATACACCCTTACTCCACCCTCTAGATACTTAAGAACTGCCTAGGGGAAACTGAGGCACCCCCACACTATTCAGAGGAAACATTAAGAACAGTCCCACTTCGTCACAGCCATCATTAATGCTGGGCATGCTAACCTCTTAGAGTGCAGTGCTCAGAGGGCAATGCTGGGCCGGCGGTGAAAGCCCAGGATGCCTGGGTCCTATTCCCAGCTCCATCAGAAGCATACACCTGGAGCAAGCAGATTGGTAGATTTAAGGCCAGAAGGGACAGGTGTGGTCACCTGCCCTGGTCTACACTAGGACTTTAGGTCGAATTTAGCAGCGTTAAATCGATGTAAACCTGCACCCGTCCACACAATGAAGCCCTTTATTTCGACTTAAAGGGCTCTTAAAATCGATTTCCTTACTCCACCCCTGACAAGTGGATTAGTGCTTAAATCGACGTTGCCGGCTCAAATTTGGGGTACTGTGGACACAATTCGATGGTATTGGCCTCCGGGAGCTATCCCAGAGTGCTCCATTATGACCGCTCTGGACAGCACTCTCAACTCAGATGCACTGGCCAGGTAGACAGGAAAAGAACCGCGAACTTTTGAATCTCATTTCCTGTTTGGCCAGTGTGGCAAGCTGCAGGTGACCATGCAGAGCTCATCAGCACAGGTGACCATGATGGAGTCCCAGAATCGCAAAAGAGCTCCAGCATGGACCGAACGGGAGCTACGGGATCTGATCGCTGTTTGGGGAGAGGAATCCGTGCTATCAGAACTCCGTTCCAGTTTTCGAAATGCCAAAACCTTTGTGAAAATCTCCTAGGGCATGAAGGACAGAGGCCATAACAGGGACCCGAAGCAGTGCCGCGTGAAACTGAAGGAGCTGAGGCAAGCCTACCAGAAAACCAGAGAGGCGAACAGCCGCTCTGGGTCAGAGCCCCAAACATGCCGCTTCTGTGATGAGCTGCATGCCATTTTAGGGGGTTCAGCCACCACTACCCCAGCCGTGTTGTTTGACTCCTTCAATGGAGATGGAGGCAATACGGAAGCAGGTTTTGGGGACGAAGAAGATGATGATGATGATGAGGTTGTAGATAGCTCACAGCAAGCAAGCGGAGAAACCGGTTTTCCCGACAGCCAGGAACTGTTTCTCACCCTAGACCTGGAGCCAGTACCCCCCGAACCCACCCAAGGCTGCCTCCTGGACCCAGCAGGCGGAGAAGGGACCTCTGGTGAGTGTACCTTTTAAAATACTATACATGGTTTAAAAGCAAGCATGTGAAAGGATTACTTTGCCCTGGCATTTGCGGTTCTCCTAGATGTAGTCCTAAAGCCTTTGCAAAAGGTTTCTGGGGAGGGCAGCCTTATTGCGTCCTTCATGGTAGGACACTTTACCACTCCAGGCCAGTAACACGTACTCGGGAATCATTGTAGAACAAAGCATTGCAGTGTATGTTTGCTGGCATTCAAACAACATCCGTTCTTCATCTCTCTATGTTATCCTCAGGAGAGTGAGATATAATTCATGGTCACCTGGTTGAAATAGAGTGCTTTTCTTCAGGGGACACTCAGAGGAGCCCATTCCTGCTGGGCTGTTTGCCTGTGGCTAAACAGAAATGTTCCCCGCTGTTAGCCACAGGGAGGGGGGAAGGTTGAGGGGGTAGCCACGCGGTGGGAGGAGGCAAAATGCGACCTTGTAACAAAAGC